CCCCCCCCCGCCCCAGCCACTGGCATTCCAGGGCAGGCACAGCAAGATTTGTGCAAGGGCTGAACACCCACAAAGCGGAGCCACAAGACGTTTTCTTCCTCAAGGTGCGATGCTCCTGGAGACCAGTCCCTGGCCCCGTCGGCACCCAGGATCCACTGTGGGTGGGTGCTCCCCAGGGTGCACAGGGTGCGGGGGCCAGATGGAAGCACGGTAGCTCTGCTCTGCTCTGCCCCTAGACCAACTTGCTGCAGGAACAGCCAGGAGAGCAGATGGTTTGGCTGGAGGGCAGAAGAGCAGTGCCAGGGACTTGGCACAGCCTGCTCCCAGTGCCCAGGCACAACGCCTTCCCGGCCCCCATCCCTGCCTGGCACAGTCCCAGTGCCGGTGGACTTTGCCCTGCAGCGGCACATACAGGCAGCGGGCAGTGTGTGAACCTGCTTCACCCCTGCCCGTGCTGTGCAGCTGTAGCTCTGAAACACATGGCGAGTGCTGATACCCCCAAATCAGCTCCGGCAGGCACTCAGGGTGCCTGGCTCTGCCCCCGTTGACAGTACATGGGGTACAACGCAGCCTCACAGGGCTGACTCAAGCAGCTGGGTAGCAAGTCCTGTAATTGATGTCCTGTCCACAGCGCAGCAGCTCAGCTAGTTTCGAGTAAACTGTGCTCGAAACTACCACGCCCAGAAGGGTTGGGGCAGCCCGGGCGCCCAGCAGCTTTCGAAAGCACATTTGCGGGGTGCGCAGCTGCCAGAGCTGGGGAGGGTCAGGAAGGGCCATGCTGGGGGAAAGCTCTCCCCTAGGATCACCCCCTCAGCAAGGCGCTGCCAAGCTCCCATCTGAAGCCACCTGGGTGTATGTGAGGGGACACAGCGCTGCAGAGGCCACCAAAGCCATGTGGAGGGATGCATCAAGAGATGCGAGATACTACAAGCAGCCTGGAGGCAGCAGGGAGCTCTCTGGCTCGCGGGCATGCCCTGATACGTGCAGCACCTATCCAGGCAGGAAACAGGAGACTCACAGGCTCAACTCAAACTGGATGCAACCTACACCCTGCTCCACCCATGAGGGTGTCCATGGGACAGCAGGGGAGCAAGGGCAGGACTAGCAAGAAGGTGTTTATTCAACATAGCACCCAGCTCAGTGCACACCCGCAGCATGGAGCCCCAAGACTCTAAATCAAGCAAGATGCCTGCAAAGCCACACAGGAAGGTGTGAATTACAGGAACCCAGAGCCGCAGCTCTCCCCTCCTGCCAGGCTGCACTTGCACCAGGTCCAGCAACAGCCTGAAGCCCATGTGCATGGAGCAGCCAGGTGTTTATTCAACATAGCACCCAGCTCAGTGCACACCCGCAGCATGGAGCCCCAAGACTCTAAATCAAGCAAGATGCCTGCAAAGCCACACAGGAAGGTGTGAATTACAGGAACCCAGAGCCGCAGCTCTCCCCTCCTGCCAGGCTGCACTTGCACCAGGTCCAGCAACAGCCTGAAGCCCATGTGCATGGAGCAGCCATGCAGTGGGAGATGCAGGCTGAGGGTGATGCAGCCTCGGCCCTTGTCATCCTTCCCATGGGGAAGGAGAAGCATCCCCTGCTTCCGCCAGCCCCCATCTGCAACAGGCTGTGCAGGGTGAGGATTTACAGGATTATTTTAATTACCAAGTTAAAATTACTCATTAGCTGTCACCCCACAGGTGCTGTGGCAGGCAGGAGGCAGGCAGCGAGCAGGGGCTGCCCTGGTGGTGCACGACTTGCAGCAGTTAGAGCTGCATGGCTGCTTAACCCCTGCCTGCCCTGCACCTGGCTCTGGACCAAACGCACGTTGAGGGCTCAGAACAATAATCCTCCTAAGAGCTCATCTTCCCTCCAGCCAGATCCTGCCACAGGAATGGCGGGAGGAGACAGGGAGAAGCCTGTTAGCAGGGAGTGGTTCAAGGAGAACACCCCAAACGCTGCCCCGAGCAGAAGCGGTGCTGGATGCCCAGCATTTCCCTGTTTCCCAGTGATCCCTGGTGTTTTGGCCTGGCCAGCAGCCACCCAGGGCTCTGTAGAGACATCAGTGCTTTCCAAAGCGGAGCAGCCCTCGGAAGAGGCACTTGAGTGCAGAGTACCCAGCCCCAGCAAACCAGTGCAAAAGCACCACTCTCCCTGCTGCGCCCTCCGGACTTCATGTGGTATCTATCACACTATTCCCTGACCTCTGAAACACCCGTCCACAGAGGTGCTGCACAGCCCAGGCTGAACCATCCCACCCTGCATCCCGCACTGTGGGGATATACCATCGCACCCGCCTCCAGCTGCCTGGAGCAAGGGGGGCAGGCAGGGGGCAGGCAAGGGGGGCTGAGCCTTACCGGACATAGAGAGATCTCTTCTCGCTCGTCCGGAGTGAGCCGGAGCCGGAGCTCATGCTGCTGTTCATCATCTGCTCTCTCAGGTCATGGATCTTTGACTCGAAGCGGCTGTACTCTGTAGTGCAGGCAGGAGCTGCCACTGAGCCACCCCTCCGCACCAAGCAGGGCTCAACTGGTAAGCTCCGAGAGAGGCAATGACAGCCTGTCCATGGGGTGTCTTGCACGTGAGCCCATCTGTCCGCTGCACATGCGGGAGGATGAAACCGAAGAGGCTGCAGCACCCTGTGGGAGTTCAGGCAGGGCATCTGGAGCAGGCAGGGCTCCGGCTGCTCCCAAACCTACCCCAAGCCCCTGCACAGGCAGCTCAGGCAAGGGCTGCTGAGACCACCGCTACTGAGCTGCGGCTCGGTGAGGCAACGGTTGGGCAGGGCTCAGCAAGCTGCTGACCTACAGAGCAGTTCAAAATGTGCAGAGAAAGAGAGCCCCTCCAGGACACCGGCACCCACTGGCTGGAGCAGCAAGGCATGACTGCAGCCATCGGGTCCCCACACAGCCCCCACCCACAGAAGGGGAGTGGGAAGGAGGAATTCACCTTTTGCTCACACATCCCGACAGCAGAGACCTGCAGGAGGAGCTGGGGGACCCTCCAGAAGCTGCTGCCACCCCTCTGCCAGGCAGCTGGATGGGGGCAGCCACCACCCCTG